TATATATATAGAGATCACCCCAAATTGAACTGCAGTGAACATTAGGTAACTTTGATGTCAGTGAGGAAAACGTGCAGCTGTGACACGTGTTTACCAGGAAGTGGCAGCTGCACTAACAGGCCGCTGACCCTCCAGTCACGGTTCATCTTGTCAATCAGCTCCAGCAGCTCCTCTTGGGACACCGAGCTTGGCCTCACCACTGTGTCACTGGAAATACCTGGAGCGCACATACAAATAACACTTATGTTCAAGACTGAGGCCATGTGCAAGTTCATTTACAGTTGTGTGAAAATATTTTAAAATTACTTTTGCTCATAAAAACATGTTCATCCATGTGTAAGTGCATTTAAATGTTCATGCATGTCTAAAAATGTAAAAATCATTGTGCACACATGTGCACACAGTGTTCAGAGATGCATGTGATGCTCATATCTGACCCAGGATGCTGGCTGCCCGGGTCTTGTTCCTGACATAGGTACGACTGGCTGGGTCGTCCCCCACTAAGACCACTCCTAGGTGGGGTCTCATGTTGCCTTGAGCTACCAGCTCTTCCACATCACGCTGGATTTCTCTGTGGAGCTGACGAGCCAACTCTGTCCCCGAAATCACCACAGCAGCATGCCTGGAAATCGTAAATCATACAGACAGCTCATACCACATTACAGGTTGAAAAACAGACGCAGCACAAGAATTCAAATTAATTATTGGCTACTTGACAAAAGAAATTCAATCAGTAACAATTCTGAAAATAAAATTCATGGGTTCCAGTAAAATTGCATTTGGGATTTGGAATTGTGACACAAAACATCACACTTTCTGACAAAACACAGATTAGATAAGTTAATAAGTATTTGAATAAATCAAAGGTAACTTCATACTCACATTAGACAAGGTTTGAAACACAATACTGGATTATGTTAGCACTAATTTGACAATGCACTTTTGTACAGTTCTAATGTAAATCTAAGTAACTGATTAATCAACTGATCATTTCAATTCTAGTGAACTGGTTGATTTATTTTATCTTGTATCTGAGGAAGTAATGAAATTGTCACGATCACCGGGGCCATAAAGAGGCCACAATTTACACCTAGGGGTCAAATACATGTCTAATATTCATGAAAAGTTCTTAATCTAGTAAGGTGCTCATTTAAAGGTTCACTCTATAGAATCTAGTGACATCTAGTGGTGAAGCTGCATGTTGTAGCTGAATACCCCTCCCCTTACAAATATGAAAGAGAACCTGTGATATCCTTCAGTTGTTCCGACTCAAAAGATGTTTAGTTTGTCCCGCTTGAACTACTGTAAAAAACATGGCAGCGTCCGTAGACAGGTACCGGTCCCGATGTAAATATAAAGTATTTAAGTGTAATGGGCCCAGTCTAGGGTAAAGAAAACAACGATTCATACAATTTATATAAAACACACTGGTGAAGCATATTATCAGGATCAAACTCCCAACTCTGGACACAATCTACGCAGGACGACTGAAGACCAGCAGTATTTCCAGGGACCCCAGACACGACCTGTTTGAACCGCTGTGAACTCCATCACACACCACCTGCCCGAACACACCAAAGACTGACTCACACCTGACTCACACACATGACCAACATTCACACACATATCATCAACATTCACTGATGTTTTTATCATCACACTTTGCTGATATAAATGTTTCTACACCTGCATATGAAATAATAATATCTTGTACCTGAGGACGTGACAATAAAAACCTTAAATCCTAGTGTCGCAGTGCGCATGCGCGATCAGCCCACCAATTAGCGAGCTCCTCTCAGGTAACGTGATCTCTGCTACTGACGTGGCTACACAAACCAGTAACCATAGTGACGAATTAACGCTCTTTATTCGTGAATGGCAGAATTATTCACGCATTTGAAATGATGGCGTTTGCCGCGTGATGTGTTTAAGTGTCACTGAATTGTTCATTCACGTCGACGTGTTAGCCGCGGCTAACGTCATCTAGCAGCTAGCAGCTAATGCGGTGCTACAACAAAATGCTACACCCGGCGAAAGTGCGACGCGTTATGTAATCGCGCCCGGTGTTTGGCGCTCGTTCTCGGTTCACTCAGTCCCGATCTCTCGCCCCCAGCTCGGGTTACATCCGCGGAGCCTGCCCTCTCCGCCGTGAACGGTGAAGCCCGCTGTCAATCACCGTCCGCGGACACGTGACGGCTCCACACGCCTTCTCCGGTGAGGCTGCGGCGCCGCGGCTCATTCATCCCTCCGCAGATTAACGGCTAAAACCGGGTGAAATCCTGCGGCGTCTCCGCCGCGGTGCCGTTTACCTGCTCGTAGTCTGATGCACGTGTCTCCGCTGACTCTCGTATTTTCTGTGCGTCCTTAGCTTGGCCCGGCAGCGGGGATGGTGTAACGTTAGCGGGCTACAGATCCTGAAGGAGGAGCGTAGCGGTGAGACAGAGGCCGCCATGTTGGTGTGCGTGCGTCGTGGAGCGTGTGTACGTCGCGCGTGTGTGTGCGCGTGAGAGGGAGGGTTAGGGACAGCGTGTAGATAGATGGATAGACAGAGAGATGGAGAGAGAGATGGATAGAGAGAGAGAGATGGATAGATAGAGAGAGAGATAGATAGATAGATAAATGGATGGAAGGATAGATAGATAGATMGATAGACAGAGAGATGGAGAGAGAGATGGATAGATAGAGAGAGAGAGAGATAGATAAATGGATGGAAGGATAGATAGATAGATGGATAGAGAGAGAGATGGGTAGATAGATAGATATATAGATGGATAAAGGGATGGATGGATAGATACTTTATTGATCCTGGGGGATATTTAGACGTCCAGTATTACATGTCACAGTCAAATACAAGAACATAAAAATAGTAAAATGTGAAAATGAGTCAAGAATAAGTTGCAGTGAGATGAAAGTCGAACCACCAGAACTACTACTAAGCTGTCACTGTAAGGAAGTATGTGCTGATGGAGATATGTCAGATACGCGTCAGGACATCTAAGTGAGGAACATGTGATCCATGTATTCATTAAAATGAAAAATCTTGAGTTTAATCTCATAGAGTACAAGGGAAATGTATAAATATCCACACTTAACAATACACAGCTTTTACAGCAAATATAGACCTCGCTAATGGTCTAAACTAATGTATGAAGGTAATAGGTACATTTTCTAAAGTAAACTTAATTCCATTAACCACAATTTTTTCCCAAATGAATTAAAAAGGGCCAGTAAACAGGCTTTATCTATATGTAAGAATGCATATTGCTGTATATATTATATACATTTTATATTAAAGTGACAGTGAAATTATTCTGATTCACTTTGAGAATTCACAGCCGCATAATTTACGATCAAATCAAAATTCATCTTTATCAATATAACATAGCATAGCAGTGAGGGTCACTGCTATGCCCTGCTTTGCCTCAAGATGGCAGCAGATTCTTTGTTGCGTTGCCTGCATGGTGTCAAGTGTCCTGGAATTTCAGAAACAACAAAATGAGATTCAAGCTTGAGTTCAGAATATAATGTTCAAATCACACATGTGTAGAACATCTGACTGGATGGATGTTGACCTTTAACATAAGCTTGTGCACAGAGGTGTGATCAGATAGAGGAGATGAACTGAACTGCACTGATGTCCCTGCCTGTGACTGTGACACTTCACAAATTACAATAACTGTACATTTTGCACAATCCCTCCCACTTATAGTATATTTTTTATTTGCCAATAGTATTTTCTATTGTATTATTCTTTTTAATTTGTTTCCTATTTAATATATTTTTTTATATTTATAATTGCACAAACACACCACAGCAAATTCCTGGTATGTGTAAACCTGCTTGGCAATAAACCCAATTCTGATGATGGGCATCTCCTGTCCAGTAGTTCCTTGGAGAACATCCACACTAATGATTTATCGGTAAATTGAAAGACAAACAACCAGGATTCAATTCATGTGAGGAAGCTGTTTTTACAGTTACCATTGGGTGCAGGATACTGTACAGTATATACAGCAGGTGACTATATGTGAAGGACAAACAGTCTATCTCACAGTAGTTCTGTTGTGTTATTAGATTCTAGCACATCGGTGTTAAACAGCTCAAGAAAAAAAGTTAGGGGCATAAGAAAAGGAGGTGTCAAAGAAAGAGATTAAAGACTCAAGTAGTCATGTGTGAAGCTCGGAGCAATAAAGACACATGCACATGTTATGAGTCTGATTAATGTTGTTTGTTTTAAGCTGTTGATATCATTACAGCATGGAATCAAGTTGTTGATTTTGAGAAGTTGTAAAGATTATTGGCACATCTGGACTAAAGGTTTGTTTGAATGGTGGGAGTGTGTTCAGAAAATGTGGTAAACAACACACCCAACAAGGCTTGCCCAGACACGAGGCTAATAGAGAATGTATGTATAATCCTGTGTGACAAAGTTTTCTTAATTGATGGCTTTTACATGTGTGGTCTGTTTGCCAACACATAGGTTGTGCTGTACTGTGAATAGTATGGTTGAAAAATGGGATTTGACGTGGTATGAGAAGACTCCAGGAAAGCAAGAACAAAGAGGATCAATTTCCTGTTACTGTGATGAAGCTGCGATATTTGTTATGTGACTGTGAGAGACCAGAAAGTACATCTGAGGCACAAGATGCTGACCTGTCAGTGTTGGTTGACAAGTGCGCTGTGAAAAAAATAAACTTTACAAGATTTTTAATGATTTTCACTGTGTTGTGTCACCGTCCATCTTTTAAAGCATCTTTAAACTTGTGAGGACAGCTGTGGTCAGAAGGTCACATATGAGACCTGCATCCACTGAGATGATCCATAGGTTCCACGCACAGTTTAATCCATTTTACAAAATGTCAAAAACTGTGTCTTTGCTGTACTTGGTCTACTATCTTTATCCAGAATTTGATCTAACCAGGCTCAAGCAATCCTTAGTCATTACCTCCACCAAGGAGGTTGTGTTGTGGCCCTTTCCCATTGGTTAGTGTAGGTTTTCCACAGAATGACACTTACAGTACTGAATGGATTTCAATGAACAAGAAATTATTAATTAACTTTTGAGGTGAATCCAGACAAATGGGTGAATCCAGAAATGTGTTTCACTGTTTTATATTTTCACAGATTTACAAGGGAGTAATTCATGGATCTTGATGAAAACAAATCAGGCCTTGTATCTGTGAGTGTGAGCAATTTGGTTCAGAACAATCATTTAACCACATATGTTATTGTTTGTGTCTGTTGTAACCTGTTTTTTTTATCTTGCACCAGTCAAAAGTTGCACTGAGAATTGCGTTGTATTATCTAGTACAATGACAATTAAGGCTTTCATTCATAAATCTAGCAAATTTAGAGTTAATGTTGGGCTTCGGTAGAGTTACGCATTTGAGTTTATGCCACTAGTTCATCTTGATCATCCGACTCAACCAGGACTGAAACTCTTGAACCCTCTCCTCTCACAGAACCAGGTTGGGCAGTTTTTGATGAGCTACTGTGATTTGAATCTCTTCAGGAGAAACCCGGCAGATCTGTGGCCCTCTCCTTGCTTTGGGCAAAACATCTCATTCTATAGGATAACATCTTCTGAGGGTTGTCTGACAAAATGTTCCGTCTGTGGCTTTGTGTAGGCAGAGGAAATGCATACGACGTAAAAGTCCAGCATGGAATAAGAAGGTATGGGCCCAGTGAGGCGTGGGTGGAAGTCTGTGTGGAGTCAGGGAGAGTCAGTTGTTCCACTCCAACAATGGCTGAATGGAGCGGAGTCATGTCTCAACAAGACCCAGTTTTTTTTTCGTCTGAGAGGGAAATTATATGTCAGATCACAACACCCATACATGGACCGATGCTTCTATCATTAAATTCTAAATGTCATATTTCAAACTACATATGTTTGTCAATTAAACTTTAAATCCACAAAAGGGCAAAGTCCAAGAAGAAACTGGAAACCATTTGTTCAAAAGACTCATGAGGTTTTTCTTCCTTCTATATTATTGTTCATGTCTTCTATAGCTCTCCAAAGTGGAGACTGTAAATGTACATCATGGAGTTGAGGTTGGTTTAATTACCCTCCAAACGACCCCTCCTCCTCCTCTCACCCCCACCCACTCCTGTTGACTGGCTCCGCCTGTTATGTAACACACGCCTTGTGTTTATGCCTGGCGCACGTGGCCTCAGGCCTAATAGATGGTGATATTTAGACGGATTCACAATTAACATCGACCCATTGATTATAACCTTCACACGCAACACACGGGGTTTTACCTTTAAGTACGCACAACCAGGGAAAACAGAAAACTGAGAAAAGGAATGGTACAGAGCCATTCCTCAGCTCGGCTCGGCACGGGTCCTTTCCTTGTGCGCATTAACCATGAAAATAATCCACAATGAGCGCAGACTACTGGAAGGAAACAGGACAATATGTTCATAATTCAAGGTTACACCCAGCTGCTGTCCTGTGCGTTTTTCAGGTTTACTGGTCTTTTATTGTAATAGGCCCCTTGTTAAAGCCTACAATTTCACATTAAGTCAGTGAGCAACATAATTTAGAGCCATGAGACAATTTAAATAAATTGTTGCTATTTTGCATTCAATTTGAATATTCTGCAGGATGTGTACGAGCACATGAATCCGATATATTCCAAACAATAAAACCCCACGTTAAGAACACCGTGTCTGTGCGTAAAGGCATTTGAATCCATTGTTTTATTTCCCCCTGGACACGTGAATGATATCAGGTATGTCATCATGAAGTCCCTCCACAGATTGACCAGTCCTCTCTCTCCCTGTCTCACACTACTCCCCTCTCTCCCCTCTCTCCTCCCTCCCTCCCTCAAAGCTGTCATCCTGAGCATTGCTCTGATCGGCGGCTCAACCCCCCCACCCCCCACCCGAAACGCCCGGATGAGAGCAGCAGCAGTAGTAGCAGCAGCAGCAGCAGCAGGCGTCATTCAGCGCAACACGGTCGCATGAAGTCCAGTCCTGGTGCCACCATTCCAGGAGAGGACGTCGAGCCGAGCAGCTGGAATCTGTGACATTTTCGACGCAGCCCACGGAGGAAGGAACGCGGTTCTGGGAAAATACAGGCGGCGGTAGAGGCGTGGAGGCACCGACGGAGCAGCATTTCTCCCCTCGTGGCGTCCTATTTCGTCGGTAAGTACATTTTGTCTGATGAGAGGAGAAACCGCTGCCCCCCGTGTCTTTTCACGCGTCGATAGGTTTCTGTCCTGTTGAGCCACTTTCCCTGCGCATTTCTTTGTGGCGAGTGTGTGCGTGTGCGTGCGGGTTGCGTTCACGGAGCAGCGGGGCCTTGGTGAGTGTGTGAAGTAGAAACGCGTGTGTGTGCGGTGAATCAGCTGCTGCTGCGCGTTAACAACACACTTTCTCGTCACTCGTGCTCGTGTGTTTGGACCAGACGTCTCTGCGTTATCCACATCGGTGCGTCTTCGTCGCCACCGCACTCACGCACGCACGCATCTGGACGGGTGAATGGAGCGGTGGCACATGTGCGACCTCAACCACAATAGCGCCGATTCCGATGCTCGATGCGGTGATCGGTGTGGGAGAGAGAGCGGGGAGCACAAAGTCCTGCGCTTTGATTCAAAGAGCTGCTCTCGTGCAACAGTCGAATCGTTCTCCTGTGTATCACGCGAGTTCATTTCACTCTGCTGAGCTTTCCCTGCGCAGACACACACACTGTTTGACGACAAGGCGGGTCGACAAGTGGACATGCGCAATGTGCACATTCAGCCACAACCCGCCCCCATTTCCCCAATAATAACAACAAGTTTGGGTGAGACTCTCTCACGTGTGACTCAGGTGATTTCCCAAGACTCTCAGCAAGGCCCCAGGCTTTCATTGTGTCTGGCCTGTTTACCTGTGGATAAAAACCTGAAATGTTCCTTCCTACATTCAGTGTGAGTGTGTGATCACAACCCAGATGACTGTGAGGTAACACTATGTTCCTGCTGCGGAGGTCCCACCAGTCTTTCCAGGGTGAGCCTCTCTACTTTGTCACTGTGACAGATAACTGTTTCCCAACAGGAACAAGCACAAACACTGGGAACATAATCACAGTGAACACACAGGCAGGAGGAGAATAACAAAAGCACCCTGCAAAATAAGGATTCAGACCCTTTACGTGATAGTAAAAGTAGAACTACAGCACTTGGATATGCTTCAATGCTAATTATAGTCCTGAAGTGAAAATGTTCCTGAAGTACTGTGTGCAAATATAAATAGCAATGTGTACGTGAAGTATAAAAAGTGAGGGTCAGTGGCATATTGTTATTATTAGATTATTAGAACTGGTTGATTAATGTGTGTAATTTTAATTGAACTTTATTTTTGAAGCACAGAATCTCAACGTACATTATCGCACAGCACTTTGTATAGTAAGATCTTTACAATATAAGGGAGAGACCGTTCACGCAATCAGCAATCACTTGGTGACAGATTAATTACTACACTGTGGGCTAGTTCTTTGTGAGGGCTTTGTGTGTTTTATTAAAAATTTAACTTGGGAAGTGGCTGTTAACAATAGCTGTAAAAAAATAGTGATAAAAGGTGAAATACTTCCTCTAGAGCTGCTTTCAGACATGCACTGAAGTCTGGACCCTCTCCTGAAATATTACAAAGGGGTTGTATGTGAGAGTGCAAATGTCTGAGGCAGTTGCTTTGGACAGATTCTGGAATGTTTCCTGCCAGCCCCTGGTAAAATATGTCGGAATACAGCAGGGAAATTTCGGGAAAACCTGCAGCAGGCAAAAAACGAAAACGCTGTCGAAGGTGTCATTTGGAAAGAGGATGTGATTTTAGAGCTTTTGGTGATAAGAGCTGATGCCAGTATCAATGTGCCTTAAACAAAAAATATGTGATTTCCGCAGAGGAATCCATACAACATGTCCTCCCTCCTGCATGTTGGACCTACAGGGCGCCGCTCCCCGTTTAAATATTCTCTTTTAACGAACCTGTTTCCTGCATCTGACCTGCACAATCTCCACCTACATTCTTACTATATGTGAAAGGCAGACTATGGAAAATACCGGAACAAATTCAGAGTTTATCTTTACGAGAGTATGTCAAACACAGGCTTTGTATCTGGTTTATAATTCACATACCACGCACTAAATATCTCTAATCCTATTGGCTTTATAGGCGGTGGAAGCACACAACATTCATGTAGCCAGGATGGGGTGTGTGAGTTAATGATTGATCTCCATACGGTGATAAGGAGTGAGAAAGACAAAGAATGTTGGCGTCTGTCACCCCCTCACATTTCTTCTCGTTGTTTTCTACCATAAAAACTTTTTGGAGAAAGTCCAACATCAGTGCCTTGTCGCAGCAGAGGCTCGTAAAACTGGAAACAACCAGACACACTGATTCCTGCATTTTGCCATTAAGTCTATAAGGCAGATATGAAAGCATATCGTGATGAGACAGTGAGATTAATGACTTCCCTCTTTTAACACAATTTTATGCTTTATGTACACAGTCTGGGGATTCTGTTGTTGTGCTATATGATAAGAAAAATATCTCCATCTGTCCTTTGTTTAAAAATGTATTAATCCGTCTAAGTGTCCTAAACTTATGATGAAATGGCGCCAGACTTCCCTTGCAGCTTCTCCCACCCTTCACTCATGTTTTTACCCTTTTAGATACTCGCAGTTATTCTCGACCAGTTGAAGAAATGCCCCCTGAGCTTACGCCACAGGTTTTAATGCGGCCATGCAGGGATTTAGAAAATAGTTCTTGCACTCGCAAGGTTTAATCTGCAGCTGTTGAAAATTTGAGGCCGTCTGACTCGCAGAGGGAAACTGCTTTCCAAGAAACATTTCAGGTAAACGCCGGCGTTGAACCTCAGCACGTCTCTCTGCAGCGATGCTGTCTCACTGAACAGAAAAAGACCTAATTCAAATTTCTCTGTCACTAGCTATGTTATTCAGGTGAGTTCTCAGAAATGTTGTCAGATTCATTTTATGCTTTGACTGTACTTTGACCTGAGTTTAATTCCCTTGAGAAAATATAAAAACACGATAGAGGTAATAATGATTCACAGTGAATTTCCAGTTCTGTGACGACAAGGCACCGACCCACAGCTTGGACCAAAGTGTCCTCTCTCTTTATGCCAACCCTCAAATCCAGTGCTTCATAACAGGCAGAGTGGTGCATGTGTAAACGGCAGTTAGATCAGACGGCTTAAGTTTGTGTTTTGGAAGTTCCGTGTTGAAGCTGGCTGTCAGCAGTGGAGGAGGATGAAGGGGGGAGGAGAATCTTTCATGGATAGAAGAACCATGTGTGCATTGTGTAATGTTTTCATGTCAAACAAGGTGCTGACAAAGCTGTGTCAGACCAGTTTTTAGGCTGGGGGGGGGGCGTCGTGCTTACTTTCTTGCATCACGTGCATCGGCAGTTTACAGTTTCTAAGAACTTTCTGCTGTGACTCCACCTCCAGTTCCAGGTTGGTGTTAAATCTGCATCGCGCTCCGTGACAAGAATGTCCTCTATGCATGGGACAGGTCATACTACATTACATTACCAGCCCTTTTTTTTTTTCCTTCAAATACTCTAATCACATTAGACACACAGTGGAGGGGTAAGATTAATGCACAGGGTGTGACACATGATTTCATTGCAGAGGTTTAATGTTTTTCCAAATTGTATAATTCCAATTTCTAATGATGTCTCTAATGACAGAGCAAAAATAATGTGTTATTATGAAAGGGGCCTCTTGTAAGTGATGAACCTGCAGAGAATGATCACCAGAATATGCAGCACATGTAGCAGTGGCTAATCCTTCACCTCACGTTCACTTCCAATCTGTGCGAGCGAGAGGGTGAATAAAATAAGCAAATTCGCAGAGTGGCTTTGCATGGAGTAAAATGTTGTCAACCGAGACCTGCGATATTCACCTCCTTTCTATAAGTGTGACTGTGCCCTTATTATCATTTTTGTCATGTGATTATTTGCATGTTATTAATATTTTTCAAACCTGTACCCAGACAATGCAAGTTTTCACATCAGTGCAGAATTTCCCTACCGAGCAAGTTCTCCTCTCTCAGTCTAAATTTGGTTTATCTAAGTATTTCATATTTTCTGTAATGAAGCAAAAGGAGCACCAGATCTTCATCGCTTGATGTTGATTCCATCGTTCTTTTCCCGAGGCACAAAAATCACTATAATTTATTTGCTGAATTCCGTCGCGCTTGTGTGAATAGTCACGCATGTTGAATTTCAGCTAAGAATGATTTGCTGGTTCACGCCGTGTACTCACGCTGCACTGCTGCCAAGCTCTTCAATTAATCTGGGTCACAGAAGCCTTTGGAACATATTTCAACCAAAAAAATATGAGGAACAAAAGTTACACACTGTAGTGTTTACTACGGAGGTATTTAGAGTAGAGTTCACATTACGGTGTCACCTCACAAGACGGAAGAAGTAAGGAGGAAAATGACTACGCATGGAGAAAGCACTGGAGTCTGTGGTGGTTTCCGTGATGGCCGGGCCCCTTGCAGGGTGGCCCTTCTGCCAGTGGGTGTGTCCGTATCTCTGTGGGTGGAAGGGCAGTTGGCACAGGGGATGGCAGCGTCACAGCGAGGGAACAGTCTGTCTCTGATCGACCCACAATCACAGAGCACAATCACACTGTTATGTCTGAGCCCGCCTTCACCATGGCAACATCACATGACAGCACTGAAAGAGAGGCAATCTTCTTGCTGTGTGTGAGTGTGTGTGTTTGTGTGTGTTGTGTGCCAATTTGATCCACATTATTGCTCATTGTCATCAATCAAGTGGAGCTGATGAACATGTGTTTTCATTTTTTGCCAACAAAGGTCACAACAGGCACGGTGGACAAAAGCAGACCAGGAAAGGTCAGCACGCGAGGGTTGTTGAGGGAAACTGAGGGGAGCTCACATTAGCGCGCCGCCAGCAGTGATGGAGAAAGAAGCTGAAAACAAATGGAAGCTTAGAAAAGCCTTTTTTTTTTTTTAAACATCACTGTTCCGCAAGTCTCTTGATGATTTAATCCCAGCGTCGCTTTGGGGTCAGGGCACCATTACAGCTCGGGGAAAATCAAACCAAACCATTTCATCTCTTAATTGGACTGCTTCACAGATCTTTATGGTCTTGCCCCATCAGCTCTTAACCAGATC